CCCTTTACCGCAGTTCTTCCTTTTATTTTTTTATCCAGCATGTAGCGACGTCAGCAAGCACCTCCAGCGCCTAATAACTATCCAGCATGTAACCACAATTATCACCACGCTGCGGCTGCGATCTCAGGTACGTAAGCGCACGCCGGGAGGGAGCCTAGCCAGTCGATTTCTGACGAAGCTCGATAAACAAGGACAGTACAATCACGACGGTGGAAGCAAGTGCACGCTGGGAGTGATCCAAAGCAGGCGGTTGTCGTCGACTTGATGAGCAAGGATACATGCGTACAGCTACAATGGCGGCCGCAACGAAGATGAAGCTAAGATTACTTAGACTCGGAACTGCAGATTAAGCAATAATAGGAGGAAAAAACCCTAAAGCGTTTGTGTGCTTAATTGCTTATACGGGAACAATTAATTAATTAATTATTAATTAATTAATATATTAAAAGCACAAGTTATCTGTTACTAATTTTACTATTCCTTACGAAAAAAACTCTTAACCCATAAAATACTGTTCATCACATTTATTATGTTTTTTTTAATCCATATGCTAACCTACGGCCGGATGCATCCTACTGAATTAACCCATAAAATACTGTTCATCACATTTATTATGTTTTTTTTAATCCATATGCTAACCTACGGCCGGATGCATCCTACTGAATTACACACAAAAGGGTTTCTTTCTAATTGAAGTTTTCTGCATGATCTTTTCCCAAATTCTATTTCATTATTTAAGTTCATTTGGAGTTTTCTGCATGATCTCTTCCCAAATTCTACCACATTGCCATGCCAATTGTAAAGTCCATTATTGTAGTTTAATATTATTAGACCAATAATATTAACGTAACATTGTTCTATAAAAAATACGTAAATTACATATACATCCTCAATTTTACATAGAGATAGTGATTTCTAATGTATCAATAAAACAAAAAGTAATACGGGAAGTCTTCATAATAAAGTAAATCGTACGGAGGGATAGTAATTTATTATATGTACAAATTAAAAAAATCATATTATGTAACTTCAGCAATTAATGAAAATGTATTTACTATTAACTAAATAGTTGAGCATCTCATCAATTTGTATTACACAAAAGGTTTTATAAGGTCCCTTATTTTTACATAATTGTTAATCAAATGTGATACTTTTTATAATTTAATTATTTATTATTAACTAAAATTTCTTTAATATTCACCATCTCATAGATTGCATTACGCAAAAGTTCCATAAGGCATGTTAACTTTTACGTAGTAGTTTAATCAAATGTGATAATTTTCCGTGACTTGATTTTATTATTAGACCACACATTATGAAAATTTTATATAGGAATTAACACCATTCTAAATAGTTACTTATATTATTTATACATTACGTAAACCTCTTTTAGATAGATATTTATTATGTATCAATTACGTACAACTTATGAATGTATCTTACCCAAACTTTTTTGTAAACTAATCATTGAATGAGTTGAAGAAGTTTAAATATTTAGTTTTTTACCGCTGCAAAGCGCGGACCAAAAATCTAGTTAATATATTAAAAGCACAAGTTATCTGTTACTAATTTTACTATTCCTTACGAAAAAAACTCTTAACCCATAAAATACTGTTCATCACATTTATTATGTTTTTTTTAATCCATATGCTAACCTACGGCCGGATGCATCCTACTGAATTACACACAAAAGGGTTTCTTTCTAATTGAAGTTTTCTGCATGATCTTTTCCCAAATTCTATTTCATTATTTAAGTTCATTTTTAGTTTTCTGCATGATCTCTTCCCAAATTATACCACATTGCCATGCCAATTGTAAAGTCCATTATTGTAGTTTAATATTATTAGACCAATAATATTAATGTAACATTGTTCTATAAAAAATACGTAAATTACATATACATCCTCAATTTTACATAGAGATAGTGATTTCTAATGTATCAATAAAACAAAAATTAATACGGGAAGTCTTCATAATAAAGTAAATCGTACGGAGGGATAGTAATTTATTATATGTACAAATTAAAAAATCATATTATGTAACTTCAGAAATTAATGAAAATGTATTTACTATTAACTAAATAGTTGACCATCTCATCAATTTGTATTACACAAAAGGTTTTTTAAGGTCCCTTATTTTTACATAACTGTTAATCAAATGTGATACTTTTTATAATTTAATTATTTATTATTAACTAAAATTTCTTTAATATTCACCATCTCATAGATTGCATTACGCAAAAGTTCCATAAGGCATGTTAACTTTTACGTAGTAGTTTAATCAAATGTGATAATTTTCCGTGACTTGATTTTATTATTAGACCACACATTATGAAAATTTTATATAGGAATTAACACCATTCTAAATAGTTACTTATATTATTTATACATTACGTAAACCTCTTTTAGATAGATATTTATTATGTATCAATTACGTACAACTTATGAATGTATCTTACCCAAACTTTTTTGTAAACTAATCATTGAATGAGTTGAAGAAGTTTAAATATTTAGTTTTTTACCGCTGCAAAGCGCGGACCAAAAATCTAGTTAATATATTAAAAGCACAAGTTATCTGTTACTAATTTTACTATTCCTTACGAAAAAAACTCTTAACCCATAAAATACTGTTCATCACATTTATTATGTTTTTTTTAATCCATATGCTAACCTACGGCCGGATGCATCCTACTGAATTACACACAAAAGGGTTTCTTTCTAATTGAAGTTTTCTGCATGATCTTTTCCCAAATTCTATTTCATTATTTAAGTTCATTTTTAGTTTTCTGCATGATCTCTTCCCAAATTCTACCACATTGCCATGCCAATTGTAAAGTCCATTATTGTAGTTTAATATTATTAGACCAATAATATTAATGTAACATTGTTCTATAAAAAATACGTAAATTACATATACATCCTCAATTTTACATAGAGATAGTGATTTCTAATGCATCAATAAAACAAAAAGTAATACGGGAAGTCTTCATAATAAAGTAAATCGTACGGAGGGATAGTAATTTATTATATGTACAAATTAAAAAATCATATTATGTAACTTCAGCAATTAATGAAAATGTATTTACTATTAACTAAATAGTTGACCATCTCATCAATTTGTATTACACAAAAGGTTTTTTAAGGTCCTTATTTTTACATAACTGTTAATCAAATGTGATACTTTTTATAATTTAATTATTTATTATTAACTAAAATTTCTTTAATATTCACCATCTCATAGATTGCATTACGCAAAAGTTCCATAAGGCATGTTAACTTTTACGTAGTAGTTTAATCAAATGTGATAATTTTCCGTGACTTGATTTTATTATTAGACCACACATTATGAAAATTTTATATAGGAATTAACACCATTCTAAATAGTTACTTATATTATTTATACATTACGTAAACCTCTTTTAGATAGATATTTATTATGTATCAATTACGTACAACTTATGAATGTATCTTACCCAAACTTTTTTGTAAACTAATCATTGAATGAGTTGAAGAAGTTTAAATATTTAGTTTTTTACCGCTGCAAAGCGCGGACCAAAAATCTAGTAAAACTAATTGAATAAGTGAGATGACCGGCAGCGCCGGTGACAAGTATTACGGATCTTTTTATGTTTTTTAATCCGAGGGTCTAAGTTTATTTTAGTATGATCTAACGGTGTAAATCCATATAAGTTACCTAACTTGAAATTATACCCCAGTTACCGTAGGAGATCCCAGTCAAGATATCACATATATATATATATATAAGGGCTCAATTTTTCCTTTTTAATATTGTAAAATAATTTCAGACCTTTCAATGGGCCCTAGAACACATTTCTCGTATTTTGGAAAACTTATAGGACATATTCCTATGATATCAATGTCCGCATATCCTATCAATAATCATTAGAGATTTTGTTAGTCATTCAATATTAAATAGTATTTTTCCGTAGCTCATTGCAAATGTCATATTTCAAAACTTGTAAAGGAGGATGGTAGTAGCAATACTAAATTGATTCTATCAATGACCATGGTCCTATGAAGCTAAAGAATTTTACTTTGTTCTAGAAAGTGTCTCGCCTATCTTCATATTATATATCAAAAGCAAAAGAATAGTAAATTGTAGAACTTTTTATTAAATTTTCTCGGTTAAAAAATTCGCGTTCTCCCCTTAATTTTCAGTAGAAGAATTTTACAATGCTATATAGCATTAGTGCTATAGGTTTTTTCCTTTATGGTACAATTTGAAGTTATACCTTTTACGTTGTGGTACAACTTCAGATGGTACCTATACTATTTTATACAAATTATTTTATGGTACAACTTAAACTTGTACCTTTATGTGATGGTACAACTTGAAATTGTAAAGTTGTATCATAACATAAGGGTACAAATTCTTTTATGATATAACCTCAACTTATACATTTAATATTATGATACAATTTCAAGTTGTACATTAAAGCATCAATGCTTTATAGCATAGTAGAAGTACTCTGAGACATTTTACTTCACCAATACCTTTTATTTTTAGGTTCTCCCGCCCAAATAATAGGCTTCTTGACCGAAATTGCTAATTTTCTCGATTCTTTCTTCCCCCAACACTTTTCAGTTTGATCATCTTCCAGAGTTGTGAAGTATGCCTGCAGAAGAAAGTTTCAGGCTTTCAGCATGGAGGAAAGGCGTAGGATAGTTTTCCCTGCCTTGTAAAGAAGCCCTATTATTCCATGGTGGTTTTCAAGTGTTCCATATGTAATCTGCATACATATTTATTCAGCCTCAGTCATTGCCTTCAGCATTGTTGGTAGTTAGTCAAGCTTCAATGATCAGCCACTTCAGTTCTCTTTTGTTCTGTTCTGCAAATATATGTGGGTGTCGATTCTGGATTTGCTGAAAGTTTGCTCGTCATCTTAAATTCCACTGAGGAACTATAGAATTTGATTTACCAAAAGAAAAAAGAGCTCCAAAACCAGAATAGGAATAGGGCAAAACCAAAGGAAAAGACAAGTTCTTGACGTCGGTCAATTCATCGAAAACTTGGCGCATGTTCTGTCTAAAACTTGAAGCCACCTGCCGCTCCACTGTCCCGATTAGGTGTTAAGAAATGGAGGGCCATGCATCCATGCAAAGTGAAGAATGGCGGAAGAAACCTGTCCACTTCATTTCTTTTGTGGCAGCGACCCTTCAATGCCCTCCTTTCTCCTATAGAACATACCTCTGCAAATTTCAACAAACACTGCTCATCACTTGACACTTAACCACAATATCATCATCATCATGGCGAGATCCAGCCCTTCACTTCTCTGCCCCTCACTCTGCCTTTTCGCACTCCTCTTCCACGCTTCTCAGGCTAGGCAGCAATGGCAGCAGGGGAACGAGTGCCAGCTCGACCGGATCAACGCGATCGAGCCCGACAACCGCATCCAGAGCGAGGCCGATACGATCGAGACTTGGAACCCAAGCCACCAGCAGTTCCAGTGCGCTGGAGTTGCCATTGTGAGGCGCACGATCGAGCCCAACGGCCTTCTCTTGCCTTCTTACAGCAACACTCCTCAGCTCATCTACATCGTTCAGGGTAACCATATGCATTAACTAATTAGCAATTACTCCACACAATCTCAATCATCTGAGCTGCAGCCAGGACGAGAAGCGAAAGAGGCGCCAACGCCAAGGAGGCTCCTCCAGCTGCAACAATCTCTTCTGCGGACTGGACTCCAGCTTCATCGCCGAGGCTTTCAACATCGACGAGAGCTTGGCCAGGAAGTTGCAGGGCGAGAATGACAACAGAGGCAGCATAGTCCGAGTTGAAGGCCAGCTGGAGTTTGCGAGGCCTCCGAAAAGGATTCAGGAGGAGAGACAGCAGCAGGGTGGCCGTGGGCTTGCCAATGGCCTGGAAGAGACCTTCTGCTCCATGAGGATGAAGGAGAACATCGGGGATCCCTCACGAGCCGACATCTTCGCCCCTGAAGCCGGCCGTATCACCACCGTCAACAGCCACAACCTCCCCGTCCTCCGATGGATCCAGCTCAGCGCTGAGAGGGGTGTTCTTTACAACGTAAAAAATAAAACACCATCTTTCTCCCTCTGCAAGCTTCCTAGTTCCATTGCCAAAGAAACTATTAACCATCAGGGAACTCAATTCTGCAGGAAGCCATGAGGCTGCCGCACTGGAACCTGAACGCCAACAGCATAATCTACGGCATCAGAGGGCAGGCCAGAGTCCAGATTGTGAACGAGAACGGCAACTCGGTGTTCGATGGCGAGCTGCGCGAGGGACAGGTGCTGACGGTGCCCCAGAACTTCGCGGTGGCGAAACGCTGCGAGAGCGACAGATTCGAGTGGGTATCTTTCAAGACCAACGACAACGCCATGGTCAACTCGATCGCCGGAAGAACCTCCGCCATCAGGGCTATACCGGCTGACGTTTTGGCCAACGCGTGGAGGGTATCGCCGGAGGAGGCCAGGAAGTTGAAGTTCAACCGCCAGGAGACTCACTTGGCCAGCTCAAGGTCTCAGTCCTTCAGAGCTGCAGCAGCTTAGTGGCTAAAATGAGTTATGCAGCTTATAGATGCCAACTGCTGACTTTCTGAGTTTGTTTTTTACAGGCAGCAAGGTGTGGAGAGTGGGAAGTAGCCCCTAACCACAGTAAGAATAATGTAATAAAGTAAATGGGAGTAGGAGCTCCAAATGTTTGAGCAATTTATGGAACACAGAGTTCGATCCCAAATCGGAAAGCAACCCAGATTCAACTCTTAACAAATGTGACTAAAACCAGACTATGATATACTATCATGATACGTACAAGCTTTCTTTCTCCTCAAAGTGAAGAGAAAATTGGGACCCCTGGCAAGGTGACTCCAGCATCCACAATGAAGATATTGCCCGTCACATACTGCGACGAATCATGGATTAGGTATCGAATAAGCGATGTCAATGCCGGATCTGCAGTTCCATATGTTAGTAAAGGAACTGTCTTCTCAGCAACCCGAGTGAGCCAGTCTTTCTGCATCAAACCTTTGGTGATCTCGGACTTGAAAAGTCCAGGCGATATGGAGTTGACCCTGATCTTGTACACCCCCAACTCCAGCGCCATCACCTGAGAAAACGCGACACAAAGGATAGGACTTTTAAGGAAATAGTACGATTATAGGAGGTATTGGAAAGTTTGGGTACATGGTAACCACAATGAAGTCCTATGAAGCCATGTCTGGTATCCTATCTATATCCATACCATCATCAAGTTCAATGCAATATGAAGAGAAAAAGGGCATAGTTTACCTTAGTCATGGCATTAACTCCCGTCTTTGAAGAAACATAGCCAACACCACCAGGCAATTGACCGCGATGGAGACCAGCAATCGATGAAATGTTGATTATGGAACCTCCAACCTTCGCGTCACGCATCCTGATGCCAACCGACTTAGAAACCAACCAAGTCCCCGTCAAATTCGTCTTGATCACATGATTCCACTCCTCTTCAGACAGCTCCAATGGAGTCTTTACAGTTCCTCTCACGCCAGCATTGTTGACCAATGCATCTATCCTCCCAAATGCATCCCAAGCATTCTGTACAGCTTGATCAATGGCAGCACCACCGGCTGATACATCCAGCTCCACGGCCACAGCACGCAGACCATTACCAGGCTGCCCTGACGCGGACGAAGAAGATTGAGGGGCTGGGAAGGTGAGCTGATTGATCTCGCTGCACAGAGATTGCAGGCGATCGATACGCCTAGCAGCAGCCACTATCCTGCACCCGGCTTTCGCTAGGTCGAGACAGAAGTCTCGGCCTAAACCCAAAGACGCACCCGTGACTAGCACCACTTTGTCTGACAAGTTGCACCATGGCTCGAGCTGGGCTGGCACAGCGTTAGCCATTTCCTCTGCTGAGAGATATTCACAAACAGAGGGAACAGTCACTAATTGATGCATTTCGACCAAACAGAAGAAGACCCACAAAAGGTATAGCAAACCAAGTACTCGACGGAAACAAAACAAAAAAGTCGCGCAATTCATCAAACAGTTGGCGCTCGTGTTAACGGTAGCATCGAACCGGGGAGACTCGAACAAAGATCAAACACAAGCACAACATATCGATCAATCAAAATTCCACTACTCACCAGCAATTCAATCTCGATCAGAAGCCTGAATCCTGAAGATGGTAAACACGAACAGGGGAACCAAAATCGAAATCAAAAGGTGAAAGGAGCAAGCCTGCCTCGTTTGAACCGGGCGATCTTCCAAGCTTCGATTTTCTGAGAGAGGATCGACGAGTGGGTTGGGAAGTCGGAGGGAAGCGAGGATATGGAGGGAGTAAGGAACCCTACGTGATATTGCCTGCTTCACTTCTGGGCAGTTTCCGCTGGTGAAATTGACGACGCAGCGAGCGCGGTAGTTGGTCACTGTGCCACTGCAGAGGAGTTGACGGACAAAGTGGCAGCAGTTGACGCATTGAGTTAAATAATTGTTTTTATCGCGACCGGCTGAATGATTAATTTTTAATTGCAGTTGTGGTCCATCTACTGTATCTTTCTAACAGAACAATCCATGTAATATTGAACTTTGACAAAAAGGTCAGTATATAATATCATTTATTCATTTTACTCCATTACTCAAAAAATTCCATCCAAGTACTTTATTATACAGTAGGCATGACAATGTAGCTTACAGCTGTTTTCCTAAACCACATTCATCCTCATTTTTTAAATGAGGATGGATAATATTCATTGGTTTTGGGTATTCAAGGATAATACATGTCTCATATATTTAATATTATACTTGAAGTTTAACATATAGAATTTCAATCATAATACTAAATGATTCTAATAAATCATGAAATCAACAAAGATACAACCATTTTTTATACAAATTCAAAGTACTAATTTTAAAACGTTCATTAATCCCCAAGACAAGATAGAGGAAGCCAATTTGTGACTTTTGCGTACGAGAGCGGGTGCGAATTGAAGAAAAATAGCATTCGGGTTTGAAAGAGTGAAGGGCGCATTGAGTAAAAGAAATTAAGGTTTGGTTTGGATGTTCACTCAATTATATTTCAGCTTTTTTAAAAAATATCCTTATTATCATTGACATGTTCCAGTATGATCCTTATGTTTCTTTATATATAAATAACAACTCTTGATGGGACAGGTATGAGTATGGGTATAAGGTAAGGAGTCTAAAACAATACATGTCTCATCCTCATTAAACTGTTTGCATATTTTATAGATATCTATCATAAGGAGTCTAAAACAACACATGTCTCACACTAAAATGTCTCACACTAAAATGTCTCACCTAGAGCTCTTCTAGTGTGCTCTATAGCACCCATGCTATGGAAAAAAATAGCATGTTGGGGAGGTAAACCCACTAAATGACTAGTTCCACATCATTGATGGCAATCTTGTAAATAATGAATGAATATATACAAGTGTAGGTACAAATTACAGTTGTAACATATCTTATATGCACAAGTTTCAGTTGTACCATTGAAGAATTTGTTTCACAAAGTGTAGGTACAACTCAAAATTGTATCATAGTGTATAGGTACAACTCGAGAAAGTGTAGGTACAGTCTTGGCTCGTTGATGTTCCCGAAGGTATGAGGTTGCTGGGGACAAAGCCCCATTGACGTCGAATTGATTGCAAACGACCCTAGATTTAATAGGCCCCGCTGTCACAAAATGACATGTGGGATGATATTCTGGATTTTAAGAAAAACGAAAGAAGAATTATTTATCGAGAAAAGTGTGCAATAGAGAGAAATCTTAGTAGGGAAAAATCCATGTCATAAAATCCTAGCAACGAGGGCATGTAGGTACAAATTTTATTTTGAATTGTATAATAATATGACACTAATTTATAATTTCATTATTGCAAATCGATAGGGATAGCAAATAAATTACCATTATGAGTATCCAATCAGATATGAATCAATTTGGTTGGAAAAAATCCAAGTGATATTACTTTTGTAAGAATTTACTTAAAACCCAACAAGAGGGTATGTATTTGGTGCGATTTTAGTATATGCATCGAGTCCTCACTTAATATGTGCTACGGCTATGATCTAGACTCACTCGCTTCAGCACTTCGTTCATCCATATTTTTCAAGTATTATAATTATCTCGAAGACCAAATGTTTCTCATTTTTGCTCACTTTATAAACATGCATTTTATGAAAAAATTTCACATTGTATCAAGAATTTTGTATATGATTATTAGAAATGTTGAATTTTTCTTGAACACATACGAGTAGGTTTTGATACTCATATTCCATCCCCGCCTAATTTTGGTTGTGTGGATGGTTATTAATTCACAATCGTTGTTCGAAAATGATTTATATGAAAAAATGGCTCTATCCAAACTTGTTGACATAGATGGCAATTGCATGTAGTGCAATTGAAACGGACCAACTTGGTCTACCACATGATGTTAGGAAATAGGAATAGGAAGTCTGCCAACCTTAGTTCAGTATTTTGGCCTAACATGTTTTAGGTCATCCAATCCAATTTGTAACGAAAAGAAAGGAACCGCCAACTTTTATATAAATATAGATGTGTTTGTTTCCACTTCCAAGAAGTGACCAAATAAACCCCCAAATAAAGGGACAAATAAAGGAATGAGGCGCCAGCTCGACTCAATCAAACACATCTCTTATGTAACTTTCTAAATAATTACTGCTCACAATTCACGTCACCGGTTGGAATAGCAATGTGCAGGTCTGGGCGGGCAGCTACCTCGATATCCATACTCGCTACATAACAGGTCGGGTTCAGATCGGATAATTTATCACGGGGCGAGGGTCGGGGCAGGCCGACCCAATAGGTATGTTATTTACATTAAAAACATTAGACATATTCATTATTTTCATTAAACCATAATATGATAAAAATGTAGTTAAATTATTGGAGAATTGATGTTCTTACTTATTTACGATTTTATTATAGCTAAAATATGAGGTATTAAAAGGAAAATCTTAAATAATTTGACTAAGATTACCTGTAATTTAGACAAGAACGGGTCAAGAGTGGGGCGGATCAGGGCAGATCAGGTCGATGAGAGGTACCCCGCAAAACAAGTCAAACAAATCGGGTAAAACATGTCATGTCGAAATTGCCATCCCTACTCACAAGTTATATATGTCACCTCACAGAGAAGAAATTGTAACCAACTTCGTCACATTGCAAACAAGAAACCATCCTTCAAGCTATTCCCGTGTTGATCATGTTTCTAAACTCACTTACTATTTGATTTTTTTAAGACTATATTTTAAGCAAATTATTTATTATCCGATAATTATATTTCATTATTGAAAAAATATATTCATCAAACTCGAAATTTTCTGAATAAGATAAAAATACATTTTATGTTTTATTTCACTAAATACCGGGATGGCAAGGGAGATTACATAACTCAACTCTTAAAATAATGTAAAATTAAATATAAATTTTGTTATAAATTTGACAATTGTAATAGTTTGGAAGACTTTGGTCTCATCATCAGTTCATATTTTCTGATTAGATTTTGTTGGGCATGTGACTCGGATCTCACCACACTGAGGAAACACCAAGGATGCTCACGCCAAGGCAAAGCGCGCGAGTCACACCGGAGTCCAGCGCGCGAGTCGCGCCGGAATCATGCGCGCAGGTAGAGGCCACCCTCTTGGAGGCGCGCGTACCAAGGATGCTCACGTCAAGGCAAAGCGCGCGAGTCACCCCGAAGTCGAGCGCCCGAGCCGCGCTGGTAGAGACCACCCCCGTGGAGACGCGCGTAAACACTCAATGACGGCGCATTGCATAGCCGTGGTCCCTCATCGAGTATCCGTAGAAGCGGTGCCGCGTCACCCAACGGGCCGTCACCATCATAGTCCTAGGTATAGTCCTAGGTATAGTCTTGCCTCTGTCAGGGGTAGTCACATCAGGGTCCTAAAAGTATGGCCTAGATCCCTGATGTGTCAGCGGTCACATCATTGTATCCACTTGTAACCCAACCACTCACCCACCACCATGTAGCCTATAAATATGGCATTTACTCCGGTGGGTGAGGGGATCAGATTTTTCAGATTCTATCTCTAAAATCATCGACTTCTCTCTCTAAAATATTTCTCTCTCAATCCTTCTTGTAATCTCCTCTGTTCTTCCATCGACGATTATTCCCTCACTGCTTACTCTCCTTGACCCATTTTCCCGAGTCTCCCTCCTACACCCTGTTAGGCTCAAACAATTGGCGCCCACCGTGGGGCCAAGTAGAGAAGCAAAGAAAATCAACTGATGGCAGAGCACAACTCCAACTCACCTGACGAATCAACCCCGATCAAGGCCATGACCAACCCAAGGGAATTCGCGGAAGCCAGCAATCTCAACATGGTGCTCTTAGAAGACGAAGAGCCCGAGCTCACAGCCAGAGAAATGAGACAGCTGATGGCGAAGCAGAACGACGTCATAGCCAACATGCAGAAACAAATGAGCCAGGTCATGGCGCTCATGATGAGCAAAGAGGCCACGGCAACAGCGGGCGCGACGCCATCCGCGCTAGGGACAGTCCTACCAGCGCATCCCGCGCACGAAGCGCAACAAGTCGAGCTCACAATATGTGCGACACCAGTCGCGCCCCAACAAGCCCGCGGAGAAACGTCAGGAACGTTCCCGCAACCACACCCCGTGCATGAAACACAGCCAGCTGAGCCTCCAGGAAGGGCGGACCTCAGCTTTCTAGAGCAACACCTATCTCCGCAATACCGACTCAGCGCGCCCAAGAAGGCGTTCCACCAGCCGCTGAGCGCGGAAATCATGGCGGAACACCTGAGCGGAATGCCACCCGCCCTCCCGACATACAACGGGACGACCGATCCCGAAGATCACGTGAGCACTTTCTGCCTGCGGATGCAGCTCCAGACCAACTCCAACGCGGCACTATGCCGAACCTTCCCATCAACATTTTCTAGGATATGCCTAGATTGGTATAACAGGCTCCCAAACGGGATCATCCGCTCCTTCGAGGAGTTCATACTCCTATTCACGATAAAGTTTGCGTCCCAAAAAAGGAGGCCGCTCCACCTCAAAGCGCTGGTAGACCTCAGGCAAAAAGACGGGGAAAGCCTACGAGCATTTTACGCCAGATGGTCCAGAGTGGCGATGGCAGTGCGCGACCTTACTCCTGAAACCGCCGCCCATCACCTTATGGAAGCCACAACCAACATGGAACTCAAGCGGGCGCTAGCAAAAAGGCCCGTAACTCTATCAACGGAGTTAGAGATGAAAATCGAGAAGGCGATTACGCTGGAGGAAACCCTAGGGGCGGGATCTGTTAGGCGCTTCGAGCCAGCCAAATTGCCGCGAGAAGAACAGGGGCGACGGCAGATCACGCTGCCGCGAGATCAGCTAGCGCAGCTGCACATCGGACATAAGCAACACCCCCCTCCCCCACAAGAGCAAGCGCAGCGGAGAAGATCACCAGACAGGCGCACGCCTCACGCATTTACACAGCTCAACGACTCCGTAAAGAACGTGTTCCACGTTCTACGCGAGAAGGGGTACAAGCTCAACTGGCCCG